ACCTGCCTGCCTGCCTACCTACCTACCTACCTACCTACCTACCTACCTACCTACCTACGTACCTACCTACCTACCTACCCACCTACCTAACTACCCTCCCACCCACCTTCCTACCTACCTTCATTATTAACCTGCATTCGTCTTTTCTCATTTCAGATATTGTTACGGTCGACAACACACATCGTTTTGAGCGAGAACCTACCTATCAGCTGTCACGCCAGTCGCCAGAAACCGTTTGTCTCTGCCCCAAAGGACACGCACCACTGAAGACCAGCCTGCCTGGCTCTCTTGACACACACAAAAAATATATCTACGTTTCTCCAAAAAGTGAAGAAGTGAAACCATCATCACTGCTATTTCCGGTCCAATTTCTGGTCGCTAATCCAGCTTTTTTGCTTGGAATACTTTAGAGGTTGTTCATTTTTTTCGGTTTTATTTTTGCCTTCCCTCTCTGAGATTTTTAGAGCACCTTTTTTTCTTTTTTTTCTCTCTTTTATTATTTTTTTGAAGCTGTCTGTGATTCGACACCATATCGAAAAACGCCAATGACGCCTTCTGAAGAGACGAACACACGGGGGATCGTAATAAAATAAACACCTCGGCGCACCTGTGGCGCGAACTGCCTTCCTTGGCGCGGAAATCGCTTCTCCATAAGCCCCTGGAAGCTCCAGGCTTTGGCGTCTGAGGCGGGAGATGGAGCCGAGCTGAGGCATTACGCAGACGGGGTCATCGAGTATATCCACACAATAATGCTTGTGGATGGAACCGAACGCTGCTGAGGGCAGGATTTATCTTAGGGATGTGATTGATGTTAATTCAAATCCAAGAAACGAGCTGCTGCACTTCGACTGCTTTAGTGAGAAGTCCTATTTTTACTTTCAGAGAGCTTGTGCAACAACGATATAAGGGATCGTGAGCTTTTCCTATGATGGGAGTTGTGTTGTGTCGTTATCGTCTTTCCCATTGTCGTAATTGTCATTAGAGTCGCCTAGCGTGTCTCGACGGATGGAAGCAAAAATGGCATCATCATCATCATCGTCGTCCTCCTCATCATCGTGTGAGAGACCTGCTGGAGTGAGTCTTCTATCTCATATGGCGGGCGACATGCCAACGACGTCCTCCCATCGCCCTCGTGGTTCTGTATACTCCCCTCGTGCGTCGTTATCTTTCCTTTCTGTCCTCATTTTCCTGTATGTCTTCGCCGTTTGTGTAACTACCGCGGCCTCACAACAGTACAACAATGGTGAGGATAGCTTGTACAATTATTACTACCACCATGACAGCAACAACTACAACGGCATGGATGAATACGTGTCGGACTGGAGCCAGCATGAGTGGGCCAAAATGAGCGGGCGAATACAGCAGCCCAAATGCGTGGACATCCCCAGTAATCTAACTCTTTGTCAAGGAATCGGATACGAGACGATGAGGCTTCCCAACCTGCTCGATCACGATTCTCTGAAAGAAGTGACACAACAAGCAGGTTCCTGGGTGCCTTTGACAAGGATCGCCTGCCACCCAGACACAAAGGTCTTCCTCTGTTCCCTGTTCTCTCCAGTCTGCTTAGACAGCCTAGATAGGTTGATCTATCCGTGTAGGTGAGTGAAACAACATATGCAAAGGTCTTTTTTGTTTTATTATGGGTTTTTTAACGAGGGGAGGGAGGTAAGGACGGGGAGTTTTTTGGGGGGCGGAGGGGGGT